ACCACAATAAAAGGCTACTAGGGGTTGGCAGTTTTTCTAGGATCGGTCGGGAAACAGAAAAAAAAATCTCCCTAGGCCTTAGGAGCTTCTTTTAAACTTGCACTCATGTTTAGCTTTTACCCAAAACCTTCCATCCATTCCAATCAGTATCTCCACTTTTGCACACATTGCTGCTAAGTAGGATATGAATGTCTTGACTTTCTTATATTATGTATTATTGTACTGTACTTTGTAACCAGTTACAGTTGTATAATATGTTATCTTTATTTCAGGTCTTGTATATATAGTACATTTCTTTATTTGATGTTTGTCTCCACGTTTGTATATGTGTGCCTTGATAACCTGTGTGTTGATTTGTTGACATTGCCAATAAAGAAAGAAAGAATGGTCATGATCATTACCTCCACGGCGCAGGCCAGAGCTATGAGTTGGTCGATCCATGCGCTTGACTCCCCGGTAGTCTCATCAGTGGTGTAGAACCCGCTAGCCTGGTCCTGGAACGCGTTGAAGAACAGGAGCAGGCACATGTTGGTGGAGGCGCCAAGCGCGTAGGCGTAGGACCAGCGGTCCCGGCCCGTGGTCAGGAAATTCACCGGGACGAGCAGGCCCGGCCGCCCGCGGGTGCAGTCCCTTTCCCCCGAGCAACATCGACGGTTCGTCCGCTTCTCGAACAAGGAGAGAAAGACGAGGATGACCGCCGCGACAGCCGCGGAGAAGTGGGAGAACGCGAACGTGTCCACAAGAACGCAGGATTCCGTCGTCGCGTTGGCAACGTTCGACGCGTTCGAACCGTTCACCGTCGCCATTTTGGTTTTTGTTCCCTGACCTCTAAAGCTCACCTGTCACAGCAGGGCTCGAAATTCATTTTTGTGAATAGGTAACCTTACACTGTTGCACCCAACCTAAAAAAATTGGGTGCACAAAAAATATTTTGGGTGCACCATATAACATAAAGTAATTAGAATGTCAGCAAAAACTAATTATGTCTAAAGAAAAGTACTATAAGAATGATCAAGGACATTAACTATACAGAATAATGTCCTTGGAATGATGTATCATTTTTTGACACTCAGATATTAAGAATATGTTGTATACTACTAGACATCTAAACCTATGAAAATATTTGGGTACACGGGTGCACTCACAGAAAAAAATGCACAGCTCCAAATTTGAGTGCACTAAGGTACGTGCAGACATGCACTCAGTATTTCCAGCCCTGCACAGTCACAGTTGTTTGCTCTGTCGGCAGGTGGGACGTGTTTGATCGTCTGCGTTACTAGGCAACGAACGACGCAAACGACACATTAAACAAACATTAATATTTGTGTTCACTAATACTAAATGTTTTTTCTACAGGCACGTTGATATCAATATCAATAAACACAAATTGGTTTCTATAAACCGTAAATGGCTTAAAACATGTCTTTAAACATTATTTATAAAGTTATGGTAAGCGCCATCTCAACTAGACTAACAGGGCTACTATTAAAAGGCGGGGTGCAGCGATTTGAATTATGGGGATGTCAGCTACAAGCCTTGTTAGACCCTGCTTCACAATGTACGCTAAAAGCGCCCGGTTACTGACCTGGCCATGTAAGATCAGTGGACCGTGAGGTGTAAGTTTTCAGGGTGGGGCAGCCAGGCATTGACTTTCTCAATAGCAAAATGTCAGGCGAATTTGTCTTCAACTACTCTTAGTTGCCCACTAGTGAAAATCCAGCCGGCAAATAATGGACACACATGTACATATACGCAATCATTATTTGTTGCTGCGTGGCTACACATTAACAAGTGTTTGTCACGCAAAAGAGTATTTCAATCGAGCCATGTTAGAGTCGGGGTACCCTTCAAAACATGATGACGTATTACCACGATGACCGAGAGGGCATTGACCTGTTACCAAAATTGGCGCAATGCTAACCTACTGCGTTAGTCTACACAAGAAGGGCACTTTTTACATTCGCAAAGAAGGTATCATTTTATTCAAAGTTTATACATTTGTAGGCACTAGGTTGCATTTGTAGGCACGAGGTTACATTTGTAGGCACTAGCTTGTAGGCACTTGGCTACATTTGTAGGCACTTAGCTACATTTGTAAGCACTTGGCTACATTTGTAGGCACTTAGCTACATTTGTAAGCACTAGGTTACATTTGTAGGCACTAGGTTAAATTTATAGCCACCAAGTTACATATGTAGGCACTTGGTTACATTTGTAGGCACTGATTTACATTTGTAGGCACTTGGTTACATTTCTAGGCACTAGATCATGTTTTAGGCGCTAGGCTACATCTGTAGGGCAAAAGTGCAAGTAATACATGGCCATACATTTGCACTGGGGTGCATCTGTAGACACTAGGTACATTTGTAGGCACTTGTTTATATGATACATGTATGTGTACTAGGCACTATGTTACTAGCTCTTCATTCATCCTAGGGTCGCTTGTCTTCATCGCTGCAAGGGCTGTTGTTTTAGCCAAGAACTTGTGCATGCGGTCACGATCGCTCTCCTCCATCCTGATGACGCTCTTCCTCGTGCCGACGACTGTCGGGTTCCTGAGGACCGTGTACAGCACCAGCCACCTCCGTTTGGCGAGCCTGCTGGCGAGATCGTCGCACTCGGACATCTGACAACAAACAGTATTAAAAAAGGAGAACATTTGAGTACCGGAGAATCTACCTTTGGAACAATCTACCACAGGAAATGAAATCATCTTTCAAGAGATCCAACTTTAAAGAGCCATCCGCCAATTGTTTATATAATGTTTGTTTATATAATGTTTGTTTATATAATGTTCTGTGGCTAGTATGCAGTCTAAGTTCCTTTCATTTGTAGATAATGTAAATTTCTTTTTGTGTCAAGTGTGTGTGTGTGTGTGCGTGTGTGTGCCTCTGTGTGTGTGTGTGTGTCTCTGTGTGTGTGTGTGTGTGTGTGTGTGTGTGTGTGTGTTTTGCCATGTTATGTATATATGTGTTTATATTTCTGTATGAGACCTGGGAGATTAGCCTTTTGGGCTAAATGGCATCGAAAGAAAGAAAGAAGGAAAGAAAGAAAGAAAGAAAAAGAAAGAAAGAGAAAGAAAGAAGGAGAAAGAAAGAAAGAGAAAGAAAGAAAGAAAGAAAGAAAGAAAGAAAGAAAGAAAGAAAGAAAAAGAAACACGCCTACATCGATGTGAACGGGTCGCAACTGCGCGTCATCTCGTGACGTCACCACCTCCGCCCACAGGTGGTCACGGTTGCGTTTGGCTGCGTTCAGTAGCCGCTGGCAGAAGACGAGCAGCACCGGGTGTTTGTGGCAGACCTGCGGCAGGGTGATGTACAACAGGACTGGTGAACTGGTGGACGTACCAACAATAAGTACCTAATACCAGCCCAGAAGAGAACAAGGATAATCCATGCCTTCAAGTACCGGAGTTATCAACCAAGGATTGAGGTGTTCAAACACTCACTCATTTATTCCCTAGAACTATCGCAGAGTGGAACTTGTTGTCATCAAGTAGCCTCTACCAGGCTTGGGGAGGCGGCTGGAAAGAGTAGAAATCGGCCAAATAGAGAGATAAGCGTGCCAAGGGAGTTTGTCCGTTGAGAGAACATTTCGCCGCTGTAGCCGCCTCCCCAAGCCTGGTAGAGGCTAGTCATCAAATACAGTAGGTTGATTATCATATCATAGCTTTAAGCAGTGTTAAGAGTTAGGTGTTCAAGGGTTAAGTGCAACAGGTCGCTTGGTGCCGCCGCGCCGCGTGCCTGCGAAGCTGATGTGTTGCGTCAAATGGTGTTTATTCCGGCTATAAAGATACAGATACATACCTCTACCTGCAGCATGCCCAGGTAGGACTTGTACCCGAGGTCCCAGTTCTCCCACCCGGACATGATGACCGTCCGGTCGATCCGGGCCTGCAGGGTAGAAGTACGATTATTGTTACAGTAGTTCCTAGTTATGTTTACCGAAGGAAAACATATTGTTTTTGCTCAGTTTCTTCCTCCTCTTCTGTTCCAAACACTAACCTCTGACCTGGCCAATGACATGATTTGTTGACGTCTATCACCATGGTGACTGGTGTTGGGTTACATAATGTTGCAATTTCATGGTCTGCTCTGCTCCTGTCCCCATAGTAGTACATGTATGTGAATGTGTTTGAGTAAGAATTAACAGAGCAGACCATGTCCGAAGGTAAACATTATGCATTTGCTTTGAAAATGTTACTTCTCTAGTTAATATCTTTTTTTCCCAACAAGTAATCACAAGACGTGGTGACGGCACACTCAAGTTTTTTTCAACTTATATTAATGCCGCCACCAACATAGGGGATTGACCTAGGTGTTTCAACTGATCATATTGTATGTTTGTCAAAACTTAACAAAGATGATTTTAATTCTCTAATTAACCATAGGTTTCTATGGCGTAAGATAAGACATAATTCACCAATTTCACACTTCCCATAATGCCTAGTAAAAATCACGGATATGACGTATGAGCAACTCCCTCCCCCTTCCTCGATATAATATTTCCAACAGGTTCTATCGACAAACTGGTCAACTATATTGTTTTGAATTATTTATCTAGTATAAAGCGCATGCCATAATTGCATTTTTGTTGGAATTAGAGAAAATGACGTACCTTCTATCGCCCTTCTACCGAAGACTCTCCTACTCGAACGGTCGCATTACGTATATTCCCATCTTACGCATTATACGTCATATCCCATCCATATCCGTGATCTTTACTAGGCATTTTGGGAAGTGTGAAATTGGTGAATTGTACTGTGGCTAACCTGCATCATCCCTCCCAGGAACCCTCCCAGTAGCACCCGCAGCAGTGACGTCAACAGCCCCATCATGACGTTGTAGAAGAACAGGAAGTAGGAAGTGACGTAGTAGAACTTCCGGTTGTCAATGGCCAGCGGGCGATCGGCGTCGGTCGGGTGGATTTTGGGCTGGGAGAACACCAAGGCCGATAGCAACACCTGGACGGCTAGCGCTGCAGCGGTGACCCCTATCGGCGGGCCTGCGTACTGCAGGAGCGCGACCATAATCTGTGGGTACGCGACAAGAAGATACAGCGCGAAAGAGATGAAGAGAAACGTCAACGTCTGGATGAAGAACCCCCACAGAATGAAGGCTATTTGCGTCCCTGGGTACTTCGTGGCTGAGAGGATGGAGGTAGCGGTACTTGGTCGGAAACTGCTCGGCATCCAGGACCTGTCTCCCCGATAGAGAGCCCGCGTGTGCTTCCGGTAGTTCACCATGATGCAAAAGATGTAGACCACGTGGATCACGAACGCTGTCAAGCCTGATACAACCCAGCACACTTCAAGGGCGTACAGATCTGCGTCGATATCGATGTTGAAGTAGGTTGGTGCGTGTTGCTGCCGTAATAAGTGCTGATGGAAAACTACGCTTTGTCTGATAAACAGGACTGCCAAGGAAAACAGGCAGAGGAAAGACACTACCATGGTTATCGTCATCTGGGCGGAAAAGCGGACATCGTCGTCTGCGCGCGTGTACTTTCGATAGTACCGCCTATACCACGGCATGGCGGGGTCTGTGCCGGGCGTCTGAGGCTTGCCCAAAAGCCGCCGGACGTATCGAAAGTCGTGGTCCTGGGCGACTTTGCCGAAGTCGTCTTCGTCGACAAGACCACGCCCCCCTTTAATCCAGGACCAGTAGCGGCGCACAGTAAGGCGCGCGAATTGCACCACAAGGATAAAGTGGAAAATGGCGCTCGGCATGCTGACTTCTAAATATTTTGAGTCAAAACTTGGGTTGTTCAGGCAGCCCATGTGTTGAAGGACGCACACCACAAACCACGCCATTGAGTAGCAGAGCCCGAGAGGCAAGCCGACCGTTTTGTACCTGGTCTTCAGACAGGCGAGAAACGGAAAGTACACTAACCCGACCTGTAGGGCGGAGGCCAGGGCGATCAGCTTCTGTAGCCATGGTTTAGAGCCGTCGTCTGGCAGCGTGAACCACTCGTCGAAGTGCCTGCCGAAGCTATGAATGAAAAGCAGCAGGCACAGTGGAAAAGAGGCGCCCAGGGTGACGGCGTAGGTCCAGCGGCTCGGCCCCGTGTCGAGGAGGTTCACGTCTACGAGCGGAAAACGTCTACAAGGACGTTCCCTGGCGCCCCGCCTCTCCAGGAACGATAGCAGTAGAAGGATCGGGATCGCGACAAACACAGCATAGTCGGTAAAGGAGACCGTGTCTATCGCAGGGCAGGACGCGGTACTGTTGGTACTGTTGGAGATGTTAGCTAGCGCTGCCATGTTGGCCTCTGACTGAGTCTGTCTGACCAAGGAACGTAACTGATAGAAGTATTTAACCTCCTTGGTCTGACTAACATCCACGTGCACCCACGTGAACATGTGCGATGTTAGCTAGCGCTGCCATTTTGGCCTCTGACAGAGTCTGGCTGACTATTTATAATAAGCGCTGCCATTTTGGCCTCTGACTGAGTCTGTCTGACTAACACCCACGTGAACATGTGCGATGTTAGGGGGCCCGCAAGCCCTTTTCCGTAGAGCGTAATCGGCCGTTTTCTACGTAGAGCGTAGGCGGACCGCTCTAATATTTTTGCGTAGAGCGTATTCGGCGTTTTAATTCTACGTAATGCGTTGTAGCCACTTGGAATTTATTGTAAAGCGTAATCGAGAGGTTTCCGAATTCAGCGTAGAGCGTTGTCGGGACCCCCCCCCTTGCAGGCCCTCATTTTGGCGTCAGAGAGAGTCTGTCTGACTAACACGCACGTGAAGGCATGTACAGTGGTGGGAGCAGGGAATAGTCTTTCCCCAATGGAATCTCTGGCGAAACCACAGGATGTATACACATTTACCTTTCTTTTAAATCACGAAGTCTTTACCTCCTCTGAAAAGCTGAATTTGTCAGGTTTCTTCGAAAACAAAAAGTGGAAGGTCTTCTACAGCATTTTTAACGCCACGTACAGCCAAAATATTGAAATGACAACTAAGGATTTCGCACACACCCCGTCGCAGTGGGTCAGTCCAGGCGAGGAAGTATTTAGGGGTCAAGTAAGGGACAAACTTGAATTTAGACTATGTCTCACGACGGATAAAGAGGATTAGGTTACATGGCAAGTCATTCTTCTGTTATTCGCATTAAACGGGGCCTTTCTGAGAAGAACTTGCCCAGGAAAAACTGTCTATATATAAGACCCTGTTCACATTCATTTCTTCTATTCGATTAAAAGGGCTATCCGAATAGAAAATTGTCTATCCGAATCGACACCGAATCCACTGCTTTTCGCCGATCCGAATTGCGCCCGCCCGCCCGCAAAAGAATTGCCATATCGCTACGTCATATTTTCACCAAACATGAAAAGCTGGTGAAATTCACGTGATTTTGTGGTGAAGAGGGAACATGTGGTATCTTCCATGTCATCTGTATCACCAGGAAGTACACTCACTGTGGTTATGTTGTACCGCTCAGTGTCAGTAGAAAAGGAAATACAATAGGCATTTGAAGTTTGTGAAAATTTAGCCTCCTTCGCAGTCTTGTTGGGCGTGGGCGTTATTTTTTTAACCGAGTAATATGCCGCCGCGAGGGACGATTTGCTGCCGAGGGAGTTTTTGCCACGGAGAGAAGGATTCGCGCTCCAACAGTTATCAACTGAGTAAGCGAAACCTTCTCTCCGCGGCAAAAACTCGCTCGCCCTCGGCAGCAAATCGTCCCTCGCGGCGGCATATTACTCGCGTCGCTTACAAAAATAACGCCCACACCCAACAAGACTGCGAAGGAGGCTAGTGAAAATTAGTCATCCAGTGTAGTAACAGTAAGATCATAGTATTTTAGACTTTTTAAACCGGATAAAAGTTAAGATAAAATAAAAACTTGGTTATCAAACTTTTATCCAATTTGAAAAGTCTAAAATGCTATCTTACTCTAACAGACGTTGTAGTATATATAAATATCAAAGAGCAACCTTCATAATTTCAGATTCTCTCATCAACGAATGTAAAGAAAATGTACACATATTTTGATAAGCCTATTCTGTTTATTCCAAGACGTCACATACATTCTCATTGAGAACAAGAAAAAGTGAATCTCTTTCGTTTTCTGTTTGCGGAAGGAACAAAGGAGACTCGGAAGCTGAAATAGGTTTGGTAACCGGGCTATTTTAACTGCACTAAAGAATTGTTCCGCGAATAAAGCCGCGGCGAAACACATCATAGTTTGGTGCTTTCTTGAGAGTAGAAACAGAACGACACTCCTGGTCCCGGGCCGGGGTTCGAACCCACGCCAAACCCGGGCACCAGTTGACAACCCAGACGATCTAACGATTCGGCTAAAAGGTCTAGACCCATCGGCCGGGTCAGTTGGTAGCGCCTATAAACCCCCCATTGTTTAATACACATGCACAGGTTTAAAAGTCGGGCATGTTGAGGTAGATGACAAGACAATTTCTAAAAACATTTAATCTGTTGTCGTCTCATGTGACCCACCAACATGGTGGACGCTCAATTACGTCACAGTCACGTGATTGCATACTCACTTCGTTCAGCACATTGCAGCAGAACGTAGTGCGCCTGCGCAAAACCAGGCGCAGCACGCTTTGCTGATGTGATGATTTAACGCACCAACATGGCGGACGCTCAATGACGTCACAGTCACGTGACTGCAAGCTCACTTCACTCGATCGTCTCTAGCTATTGCGTCCCGTTTTTCCGGACCCGTAACCGGTAATGGACGACAGTTCGCACCTTCGGCTTTTGTACCAAATGTAGCGTTTCGTTGCCACGCAACGCAGACGAGAGGACAAGACTACTAGTGTTCCTTACAACGCCGGGAACTTACAAGGGAAGTGGAGTTGTCCGTCAAGTCTCTAGCTACTGCGTCTCGTTTTTCCGGACCCGTAACCGGTAGTGGACGACAGTTCGCACCTTCGGCTTTTGTATCAAAAGTAGCGTTTCGTTGCCACGCAACGCAGACGAGAAGACAAGACCGCTACTGTTCCTTACAACGCCGGGAACTTCCGTCGGTAAGGTCCCTATAAGGGATGTGGAGTTGTTCGTCAAGTCTCTTTCCGACTTCACCAACTCGTACCCGAACTTTCGTATCGCTTCCGAACACCTCCCTTGTATCTTGGTCGCCCCGGCAACGGTCAGATTCCTCCTCCAGTCTCCGTTCCCATCTTTTAGGTCCTCAATCTTTCGTTCTATCCTTGCGACCGTCCTGCGAAGGGCGGCCTCGCCGGTGGCTGGATGTTGACCGAGGAAGGAGAGAATGTTGTCGGAGACTGAACGCGGGTTGGCCCGAAGGTCCTCGTACCGTAGCACGGAGTAGTTGGCGCGGAAAGGTCGGTCACTGCTGCGCATGCCCGCCCAGTACTGCAGGTTCGTCACCATGGCAACGCACATCCGGGACATCTCCGTGGCGGTCAAGGTCAAGCCGCTACAGGGGGGGGGGCAAAAAATATTCAATATTCAAAAGGCCAGCAAGATCAAAAGATCAAACTCTTATCATCGTTGTCCGCTTGTGGCCAGCTTACCAAATAATTTAGCTGCCGATTCTCTTTCGTCCTCTCCGGAAAATTGAGGACGAAAGAGAATCGGCAGCTGAAATACGCTGGCTTGGTAATAAGTCCAACAGCGGGGAAAACAATGATAAGAGTTTTCTATGATGTATGCACTTAAGAAGAAATGACTGAATGAAATTTGAAAACGCGTCGATGAAAGTTAGACATCCAGGTAGAAAATTCATAGTGGGCTTTTTGCCTAGCGCCTGTCGACGAAAACTAAAAATTATTGTTCACGAAACATTTATCAAATACTATATACGTTGAAGAAACCACATCCTAGAACATAGCAGCGAAAAGAAGGTACTACTTACTAGTACAATGTAGCATGTGCAGATTCTTAAGGTACACGGCTTGATAACTCTTAAAACCTCACCCCCTGGTGTCGAAAAACCCCCGTCTGTCGGCGTCTCCCGCCCGTCTCCTCGGTACGGCGCTCATCCACGACACCAGCATGGCGCGCGGGTCGTGAACAACCTCGATAACCTACATGTAGGACACACACATTCAGTTTTATACCCTGGGTGCCAGACTACTTTTGGGACGCCAGCCGTTTTCCTCTGGCAGCCACAGGGCACTGGGCAGCCAAGAGCCCTCCGCCCGCCTATCTTAATTACCGCTGCGGGGGAGTTGAGCCCGAGGCCGAGGGGAGTTACCGGGAGCACGGCACGTGGGTCGTGAACCACCTCGATAACCTTCAGGAGTGCCAAAGAATTCATACTGATTTTACGGAATTCATACGAATAAGGCAATCTTTGTGATATTGACTCATACTGCTTCACATTAGTACATTTGAGTCAGTATATCATACTTCGGGAACTTAAAACTGCAGAAACAAGCCCAAAGATGGATCCATCATTTTCTGGGTGGTACCCTAAAATGAGCCCAGGGCCCTTCCAGTAACTATTTTTCGTCAGAATTTTAAGAATTTTTGCTCCATGAGGGTCAACATACCTAGCTTGGGACAGTGTGGTTTCAACTCAGTATGTAGATACATGACTAGCATATTGGCTTTGAAAAGTCGGGTTTCCAAGCCCTAAAAACTGCACTGGATGCTTTTAATGTGTGAACAAACAAAAAAATTACCTTCAACTTCAAGCTCTCATCTTCCACCAAAGCCTGGAGGTTCCTCACGTGCGTGATGCCCGTCATCATGACCGCTACCGTCGCCTTGGCAACGCAGAGTGACGTCATGCGTCGGACGATCTCGTCGGGCGACCCGTGGCACGAGAAGCCGTCCCGCAAGGTGGCGCTTTTCTGGATCTCGCGGCAGAACATGTCCTTGGCCACACTAGGGGGAACCCCGCCCCCGAACTCGTCTCCGGACTCACGGTCCCTTTGGTTGAAAATCGTGTCGAAATCACACCGAAACAGAGCCCGTAGCGTCACTGTAAGCGCTGTCCACTTTCTACTTCTTTCCGTCTCGTTCAGGAAAGATTTGTTCTCTGAAAACAACGCCATTTTTGTGTCCGGGAGGGAGTTAGAAAAAAATGGGTCAGGGTACATGAAAGACCAGAGGTGCTCGGGCACGAAGAAGATATTTTCCTGTTGGCTGAAAATAGTTCCTACAACCTCCGCGTCTCTTCTGAGTTGGGATAGCACCAAGACAGCCCTCCTCTCCATTTGTGTGACGGTTGTGCGAGCTTGCAGAGTCGTAGGAGCGTCGGGCGGAGGTTGTGCGAAGGCGCGGTTCACTCTCCTCAGCTTGCCGGAGTTATGTACAGCTGAGTTACTAACCACAGGTCGGACATGGCGAGACCCGGAGAGGCTGAACATGGCGGTCACGTACAGGAGACAACACACAGCCAGCACAGCGGACAGACCGCGCCTGGTGCACCACAGGGCCATCCTCAGGACCTGGGGGGGGGGCAGTATATCAGGATTAGTCATAGAGAGAGAGGGGAGGGGGAGAGAGGGAGAGAGAGAGAGAGAGAGAGAGAGAGAGAGAGAGAGAGAGAGAGAGAGAGAGAGCATCCTCAGCACCTGTATGTGGGAAAACAATGGTTATCATATAAGGGTCAGTATACAAAGAAAATAGGCAAACATACACATGTACAATACACCCCCAGTATAGGGACATGTCGGGCGCCTTCTCATATAAAATCTGCCCCACAGAGCCATCCTCATCACCTGAGGGGGAAACATGATAAGTATCAGGATTTATAGGAGAGACCTGTATAGCTGTAAACGACAGAGATTGTGGCCAAATATTGTGAGAAGCGGTGAATATAGCTGCAGCCCCGGTACAGGGACATAGTAGTAGTTGTGACCATGATACAGCCATTTACAGTAACTTTGGGGAAAAAATGATTAATATCAGGTTTAGTAGAAATATATATATATATATATATATAGAGAGAGAGAGAGAGACAGAGAGAGAGAGAGACAGTATTACAGCAAAGAAAAGAACTACTGGCAAGCAATACAGCCCCAGCACAGGAACATAGGGAGGTAGGGACGCCCTCTCATTCTCAAAAAGCCGCGTCTGGTGCACTATAGAGCCATTTTCAGCACCTGTGGGGAAATGTGGTTATCAGCAGAATCAATAGAGAGAGACCGGAACGAACCTCCCCCGGCCACCGTAAAGGTCTGGAACTCTCTACCACCAGACATTGTTAACTCTTAAGGGCAGGTACAAATTTAAGTCCTGTGTTAACCGCCACCTCAGTTTTATTTGTCAGCCTCCGTGAGACAGCTGCTAAGCTGAGACAAATGTTGGCACCATGCATAGAAAAAGAGACACATACATTTTACGACAAAGAAAAGAGACAAACATCATGGACACAGCCCCACTAGTACAGGGACATGTAGGGACGCCTTCCCCAAAGCTGGCAAGCCTCGTGCACTACAGAGCAATTTTAAGTACCTGTTAAGAAACGTCGTCACGTCGGTATCAGTAGAGACTTAGTAACGACAGAGATTTGAGCCAAACATTTCACAGAAGCGGTGGATACAGCTACAACCCCAGTACAGGGACATGCAGTACTTATTCTAGTAGTTTGGACGCCATCCCAAACCTGTTTTGCCACTTAATTGTGTCCGATGCACCACCACCACAGAGCTATCTTAAGTACCTTTGAGGAAGCTTGGTCACATCGGGATCAGCAGAGACACACTAACGACAGAGATTGGAGCCAAACATTGCACAGAAGCGGTGGATACAGCAAACCTGAACAACCCCAGTACAGGGACATAGTTGTTGGGACGGCCCTTCCCAAACCTGTTTTGCCACTTACAGCCGAGCGAGCGCACCGAAAACAGGAACGCCTGCCGTGCGGCGCTGCCAATCATCCATGCACAGCCTCTTAAACTCCCGGTAACCTGTAAACCTACTGGTCTCCAAGCAGATGTTAGGGGCGAAATCCTTTAATACGTTTCCTGACTGTCCGTTACTGTTTCAGGTAATTAGAAGCTAATGAGTATACACAAGAAAACAGTTACTCAAGCAAGTCACAAGAATTTGAAAACTCCATGATCAATTAAAAATCGACTGACTGTTTTCTTGTGTATACAAATCTCATTACCTGAATGTCTATTGAATCTTTATCTCTTTATCGACGACGAACTGCCATATAATTATATTATATCAGAGTTATAATTGCCTTTGGGGGCATGTTGGCTCAGGAGCTGAGAAGGTGACCTGTGTATATTCTCCAAGCAGAGGTTGATGAGGGAAGATCGTTAACTTTTTATATATGTCCCCTTTTTTGTCGATAGACCCTCTGGATTCTGCCTGGCCAATTTGATATTGTCGTTTTGCCACCCTAGGATCTGCTTGGAGATTAGCCTTTGTAGACCCTGGAAAAAGTCTGGAGTCCAGGCTACACAAAAGCCAAAACAAGGTAGATTCTGTGCCAATGTCCTTGGAGACCAGCCAACTGGGTCGTGTAACATCAGCGATGTCAGGTGCGCTCACAGGATCAAAACACGCCAGCCCCGCGATCAAAACAAGGCCACAGCAAGTAAATTTTATGGATGACATCCTCCGCAGACTCCAGATCTAATGCGAGCGGGCGAAAAAAAAGACGGGCTGAAAAAAACAAGGTTCCTACATTTCAAAATTTTGACTCAATCATGGTACAAATGGTTTTGATTCAGTGGGGACATCACATATACACAGCCAGCATCACATATCACTGCATCAAAGTAAGAAACAAAACAGCCTTTTCTTGCCTCCTCTTTTCATAGTTATCTGCCATCCACCTAGGCCTTCCGGCATGGCAGCAGACACCTTTGCCCATTTTCGGCACATTGACCACTGTCAGAAGGCAACAAAGTTTCTTGTTTTTTTTTTCCAAAATCAGGCGAACATTAATGAGCGCGTTGATGTCATCCATAAAAATTACTTGCTGTGGCCCAACTCCCGCTGGGAGCAGAGCCGAGCTGGAACCGATACTGGGGGCATGACATCGCCACGGCGGGCTCAGTAATGAGGGTCTGCATGCCCTTTTTCGTTAACCGTTATTGGCTATTTTAATTTACCGTTAATCGTTGCCGGCCTGCTCTAATTCAACGTTAAGCGTTATCAGTATATTCATCGTGAAGCGTTATTGGTCGTTTTAATTCAACGTAAAACGTTATTTGTCATCCTAAATTCAGCGTTAAGCGTCAATGAGTAATTCTTCGTTACGCCTAATTTTGCCTTTCAAAGTGCCGGAAAATGCGTCATTGAAGGTTTCAAAATACAAAATTTCGCGGGGGAAAATACCCCCGGCCCCCCTACATTGCTCGCGCCTTTGGCGCTCGACTCGCGCTTCTGCGCTCGGTCCCTTCGGCTCTAGCCAGCACCAGCTTTCCGTCAATTACCAGAAGTTTGCGGTAATTGCAGAAGAGTTACAGTTTTTTTTAACGAATCCGTCAACCTTGACATGCAAAATGAACAAAATCTTGAGTAAAAATATGAAAACATCAGAAGGACCGACAAACACTCTCAACACCATGATTTGCCTCTCAAAATGCGGGAAATTGCGTTTTTGAAGGCTTAAAAATTCTAAATTTCCCGGGGGAGCATCCCCCCGGACCCCCTAGATTGCGAGCGCCTTCGGCGCTCCCCGCTCAAAATCCATCGGTAAAACTGGGCGCGCGGTAAAAAGTCAAGCTGGGTAGAGCCCTGGCCGAAGTCGACTCGGACACCCCGGTATTTGTGGACGCACTCGGAGACCAGGGCAGGTGGGAAACACAGGCAACACATACCTTTAATGCGTGCTTCATTACATGTAAGGTATACGTAATTTTGTCAATGATCAACTTTTCTCACAAAGCCAGATACCAAATCCAGTGCAGCTCGAAAAAAAATCCTGTCAATTTACCGTTAAGCGTTGCCGACCGTCCTGAATTTACCGTTAAGCGTTATCGGCCCTGCCGAATTTACCGTTAACCGTTGCCAGGACCCCCCCATGCAGACCCTCAGTAATCCATTAATGCTGCCGACAGGGCGCATACCTGGTTACTGTAGCTAGTAGAGACTTTTGGCACGGGCGTATACTGACCAGAAATGAACTCTGATTAAAGCCTTACATGTTGGCCTCCAAGTTTATGTTGAAGTTTTATATACTTGCTCGCCTGAAGGTTTAAATATGACAGAAAACGTGTGAATTTTGAATATACTATCACTAACTATGCCATTTCAACTACATGTAAAAGAAAGGATTAAAATCTAAATTGCCGAACAAAATGTTACTCAAGTTTGGTTGAGAACATCAATGGTACATGGTGTTTGAATTAAAAAAAAATAATTGGCACTACTACGTACTTCCAGTATTGCAGATCTGGCAAAAAAATCTTTTAAATATATTGTCAGAGGCTACAGTATCATATATACTTACCGTTCTAACGCACAGCCTGTGCCGCCGGTTGCCCCTCGCCGGTCGGGCTGAGTGCGGTCGGGCCATGATCATGATGATGCCGCTGTACCGGTACTTGTACAGGTGGTCTCTACATGCGGGGCACCGCCATAGCACACGGTCACGGTAGTCTCCGCCAGAACTCTGTAGGTGCTGACAGAAAAGCAGAAGGTTACTCTCCAAGCAGATCCTACGGTGGCAAGACTATCCATTGGCCAGATGAGGAGCGTGCCCATTAGCCATGGACATAGCTCTAGCCAACGGATTGTGTCTTATCACTGTAGGATCTGCTTGGAGATGAGTGGAAGTTGACTTTGCTTACTTTAGACTTAGATACAAAGACAAAGACGCAAAATATAATGTATAGCCTCTGTCAGGCTTCAGAGGCGACTGGAAAGGGAGTTGGTCCGTTAAAGGAGTACAGTTTACCACCCTAGCTGAAGCCTGGAAGAGGCTAGCAGTGAACCCCTAAACGGGTTAGATATAGAGTAGTGGCACACGTACGGACTTTAGACAACGAGTTATATTTGTATGGCACGCGTTACAGGTTATATCTTATATTTTTACAGCTGTGTCAAACCGCCCACAGGCTCTGGCAAACAGAAGCACATCAGGATACAGTGGAATGCTTTTTGCCAGCAACTCTGCCCTTCTCTCATGTCTCTCGTAAAATAAAAATGCGGTGGGCAGGGAGAAGGAATTTGTACTCCAGGGAGCGTTCCAAGTTCACTTACCATTTTTCGATTTACCAGTCAAATAGTTTGGACAAGAAATGTGATTATCAGCAAACTGCGTTCCAGATAGTTTTTGCCACTAAGCTATGGTTAAGTTCGCCAGCCATAAGCTATTTGACTTACACAACGAGTTAGTTTTTACAAAGACTTTAGTGTTCTACGTCTGATTTTGCCAACATTGATAAACGCTAAAAAACGCTAGCTAACCGCTAGAAAAAAGAAAAGAGTGCCAACGTTGTTAAAACAGGCGTGAAACACTGTAAATACACTTACATCTGCTTTGAAATTAGTTGACACCAACCTTTTCGTGTTCTAGACCAGCATGCCGCGACGTCCCTGCCGTCTTCAGGGTCCTTAAAGAGTGACAGAGTCCTTTAAGGATGGTTCCGACGTCTCGTGAGACCAGACTGCCACGTCAGTCCGCTGAGACAGGCGTCTCGCCCTGGCAGGAAAAATAGCCGAGTATGAGAAAAGTTGGCAGGATGAATATTCAGGCGAGCCAAGGTGTTCGGACGGGTTCCAAGAACATGTCATCGCTACAGTACACCCTCCATGTGACGAGGGCCTCAAAATACTACCCGATGCTTCCCTGAATAATTTCATACCGGGGGCCCTGACCTGATACAGTCTTATTCCAAAATTCTAATGCTCCAACTCTGATATTCTAAAGTTCTTATGATGGACAGTTCTAATGTTCTGGTCTTCCAAAGTTCTTGTGTTCTTATCTTCTAATACGTTCTATGTTCTGAAGTTCTAATATTCTAAAGTTATTCTGCTCTAAATTCTAATATTCTAAAGTTCTCATGTTCTAAATCTAATGTTCTGATATTCTAACGTTCTTTAGTGCTCTAATGTTCTGATATTCTAAAATTCTTGTGTTCTAACACTAGTAACAGAATGTTGTCTCTGACCCGACCTGTCAGCACCTATGATCACGTCTGTGTCCCTAAGGAGTGATCTATCACCTGCTGTAACACGGCTTTATCCGTACAAACACGTCCTAATCCTCTCCAGAGGGCGGGTTTACCGTTTGTGCAAGTACGGAATTCTTACATAAGGCGAGTTGACAGTGAAATGACAGTCGTCTTTGTCGGAGAAAATCCCTCACCACAGTGATCCTTCACTAACATTCTGCAGTGGATATCTACAGCTCAGGAGCCCACGTGGGAAAGTCAATGTGGAAATTAAGAGCCACAAGTTTTATGATGATGTTTTTGCTGTCTTGATCTGTCCAGTCAAATCGTTGGGTTTTACGAGTGACCAATTTTAACGGTCTTTGAGTTTTAGTTGTTCTGTAATCGTCCTCAGATTTAATACACATGCATGTGCTGGCGAGGAATTCTTACATAAGGCAGAAATGACAGTTGACATTGTCGGAAGGAAAATCCTTTACCACAGTGAAGGATTTTCTAACATTCTGCAATGGACATCTGCAGCTCAGGATCCCACATGGGAAATAAGAGCTTACGATTATGTTTTTGCTTTCTTGATCTGCCCAGTCAAATCGCTGGGTTTTACGAGTGACCAATTTCAACGGTCTTTGAGTTTTAGTTGTTCCGCACTGACCACAGCCGTTTTCAGCTAGTATTTTCAGCTAGGTTAACCGTGAACGTGGACATCAGCGATGTCGTCACGGGGAACAATGGGTTCTTCTCCTCCACTCGTTGTTACGCTCTAGGTTCTTACAGAATTGACCATGACCGTTAACAAAGATCCTAACAAACTTTTCCGTCCCCAAGACGATTGGATTTTTACAGTGACACCCCCACAACATTCTAAAGATTTTACAAGACTATAGTGTTACATATGCATGTACAGTAGAGGATTAACAAGCTAAAACCTCGGTAGCGCTAAATCTAAACTGAGCGTAAAACCGCGCTTTGACTTTACGATGTAACTCTTGGCATTCCTCAATTTGGCACGCTACATGTATTAAAGGGTAGGCTCCCTTGGTACTTCAAACACGCGATCCTCGCGGAATATTCATGCTTATCTTATGGTAGGAAAAAGTTTCTAACAAAAAAAAAACACTTTCCATCCACCCCCCACCCCCCGAAATTCGATACATGTGCTTTGATCCTGTAGATTTAGTGTTGGAATGAGTCAAGGTCACAGAACTGGTGACAGCTTCGAACCCACAAGTACTGTACTTGGCAGCTGAGAGCAGCACTTACCTTAAGTTCTTTCTAGAAAACGTTGACACAGCAAAAACACTACCCTATATCCTCTCCGCAAAGATATAGGATTCAGACTCGGGAGCTACAATAGAGCTAGTAAACCAGGCTATAAGAACACATGATGTACAGGACTCGGTCGAACTGGACCTCCTCCAAAACATCGAGACGTCCCCTCTGACCCGTACATCTGCCCGTAAACGCTAGTTAGGTCGTGCTGGGTCGGAGGTGCTGACCTTTAACACCTTCTGTGGGTACTGATGTGTGGAGAGTTACCTGGACTCAGGGACTTTCACACTGCCGAAATTAACTCTAGTCTCAAGTCGAGTGGAAAGAATGGGGGCTTACTTCCGACAGAGTACTGTATTGCCAACGGCATTTTTCACTTTTATAGCAAAGGCGGACTATTGTACAACTCAATTACTAGTATATGCTTACTTCAAACTTCACCCCCTCAACTACACAACGAAACTTTATGACATATACAAATCATGGATTCTGTTTCATGTTTACAATCCCGTATGTTGCTTTCGGTGAGTACAAATTTAGCACGTCTTGTGGTCATTGAGTAATTCGTGATTTTTTCAGTACTTTAATGTTCATGTTTTTCACGGTTGTTACTGTATCGTGAACTTATCATTACAGTTATCGTCTTCCAAGTTCCATGACAAATCCATTTTCCTCGACCATGAAATTTCTCTGTCGGTAAGACAAAGTGAATTACAGTAGTGCAGCCTATACTCTGCTAATGTTGACATCATTTCAAATAATGTTTATACATACTGTCCTTACCTGTCTTCGTCTTCGTCCAAGAATAACATACCTGTCTACCCAGCAAGTTGTCCTGTCCAAATTGTTAGACAGAACAATGGTCCTACTCATAGCGACTAAGTTTTATCATCTACTACAAGTCATTAATCAGGGAATAGAAACTCCAGGATGTCAGACTCTCTACCAGGCTTCGGGAGGCGGTGGGAAAGAGTAGAAATCGACCAAATAGAGAGATATAACATGCCGGGAGAGTTGGTCTGCTGGATCATTGAGAGTACAGTTTGTGCAGCTTTTGCTAGTTTTATCCTCTAGTACAAGGAACAGAACTCCTAGGATGTCAAACTTTCATCGACAGGCCGACGTTGATGTAAGGTAAGAAAGCCCGTTTGTATACTCAGGGCAACTCAATAAAAAGACAGTATCAAATTGGCCCGGCAGTATCCACTGGGTGACGAATTGGACCCTCGATACTGTCTTTTGCCAACGTAGGATCTGCTTGGAGATTAGTACGAGTCATAAACCAGGGAACAGAACTCCAAACTTTCAACCGACAGGCCGACATTGATGTGGGCTAGGAAAGCCCGTTTGTGTACTCAGGGCGCCGTGCTGGGGGAATGTTGGCTGATAAGAGAGTGCACAACTCCGTCTGAGCAACAGGCGACGGGCTACATCTGGCCACCTGTCAACAGTGACGGTTCGCGGATGTTGGAAAACGTTTAGGAAGGTCCTCATGCCCTTTTCCGAAGAGCGTAATCGGCCGTTTTAATTCTAGCTATGTAGAGCGTAATTGGTACATTATTCGTAGAGTGTAATTCGATGTGTTATTTTACGTAATGCGTCGTAGCCATTTATCGTACAGCGTTCAGCGGAATACGTAGCCGGCTCTCAAAATGTAGCGTAGAGCGTTGTCGGACCCCCCCCCCCGATCAACTGAATCAGACCATGGAGGTATAAAAAAACTTTTTTATACCTCCATGATCAGACTCAAGAAACTTAACGACACGTTTCTATTCTTAGTTGCTGTAATTGGTACATGTAAAAGGTGTAGCCTGTGCTTGTAATTCTGTACACAAGTCTAACTAAAGAGGTATTGTGCTGTCAGCAGTTACTTGATCAACAGGGTCTACACGGGGTATCTAGTGTATGCCGCCTTTCCCACGACGCTTTAATTCTTAATTGATCCATTCAAAACATGCCCTGTTCTCTCTATTTATGCCGTCCGAACTAAACATACGAGTACATAGCTACTCGTAGGCACTATCAAGACCTGAAGGCTGAAGCATAGCTCTTGTAGTAGACCCTTTTGGTCACCACCTGTTAAAACCTAACCTACATACTGAGAATACAACGAAAGTTCTTACCTCTAAATCGAGCAGGTCCTCCCCTAGATGGGTCCTAGATCTTTTAACTGTCCCCCATGCTTGTAGGAGCCGTCGCACGCTTTAAATCAGACTGTTACCCCTGCCCTTCCTTCGAGTTAGAGTCTGATATGAGCGCCGCTCGTCCTTCAGTCTTAAGTGACCGACTTCTCGTCTCACCACCCTCTGACAAAGAGCTGACTGATTGAGTTTTCGCGCCTTTCTCTATTCGGAGGCAGTGATTCCTAGCCTCCTTGCGCAGACTTGTGGGGCGGCGGCGTTAATTTTTTTTCGGCGAGCGACACAAGTTATGCCGCGGAAGGAATGCCGTTTTTGCCTGTTAGGTGGCGAAACCTAGTCTCTATCAGGCTTCGGGAGGCGGCTGGAAAGAGTAGAAATCGGCCAAATAGAGAGAAAGCATGCCGAGGGAGTTGGTCTGCTCTTGGGAGCGGCAATCCGTACTCTTCAGCAGACCAACTCCCCTGGCATGTTATCTTTCTATTTGGCCGATTTTTCAGCCTCCTCCCGAAACCTGGTAGAGGCTAGGTGAAACCCACTCTCCCCTGCAAAGTCCCTTGGCGGCATATAAAACTCGCGTCTCTCCCCTAAAAAATTAACGCCGCCGCCTAACAAGTCTGCGAAGGAGGCTAAGAGATTCCAGTGTTGTAATCACCGTTCCAGATCTGTATCTTACCTTAATTAACCGGTACAACCGGCCTTCGGCGTAACGCAACAGCCTCACAGGCACGCAGCATGGCTACTTCTGTACTTGTCACGCCGAAGTCTGGCATGTCGTCGAACTGAAATCTTTGAAAGCAGAGAAATACTTCACGCTATATCAATTTACTTAATAAAAACTTGATTCTGAAAATGCGCAAAATGCAGAGGGCAGAACGAAACAAATTTTTATGTCCCTTGCCACAAGCCCCCCCCCCCACACACATACAAAGCGATAGTTTGCTAGTATGTACAAGCTTAGCATTGATAAATGTTTGAGGGAAATGATAATAAACGTAGGGAATACCACAAAGTTAAGTCACTGCAGCTGGCTGCCTATATCAGTACATCAATGCATCTACCAACACATGCCTTGTTTGTGTTTTGAACGTTATACGTTGTGGTGACTGAAATATTAACAATGGTAAATACACAAGTGGACACAAGTGACATATTAAATTAAGATGTTCTCAAAGTACAGGAAAGGTGCAGTTCCCGGATGCATATGTGTATAGATGGTTTCTCATATTCTCAGAAACACTAGTATTGACTTCACTTCGTAAACCTGGGTACCCACGTATTACTTGCGACGACCTCTCGAAAAGCAACAACCGTTCTAAAAACAAACTTTTACATGTAGGCCTGCGGCGTCGGTCTTTCCGGCTCAGTCGTTGTTAAAATGTAATCACTCTCTATATAGGTTTATGCAAGAACATCAATTCACCAGATGGTACTAAACTAAGAGCCAGATTTCAAATCTGTATCTGTATAGCCGGTATAACCGCCTTTCGGCGTAACACACCAGCTTCGCAGGCACGCGGCGCGGCGGCAGCTGGCTATATTACACCGATTGACTTGTTACACCTAACCCTTGAACATCTAACTCTAGACATTGTTTAAAGCTATCTAATGACAATGCCTCTAATGTACTAGGTGACAGCGTGTTCCACTCTGTGATAGTTAATACACAAGACGCAACTCTACTCACAAAGAGTGGTTTATTTGATGAAAGAACCAGCCTTACACTCACCACATGCAAATATAAACTTGAAAGCCAGAAATAAAACGATATTGCACCGATCAAGATTTGTTCTCTATAGTAACCTAAACTGATAGAATATCAATATGATATCAACGCATCTAGGAACTTAAAATTCTTCTACAAAAAAATGCGAACACTGAAACCTTACATTTATCATACATATACTTTCACCATATTTCATGTTTTATAAAGGCACTTATAGTTAAGACCAAGGACATTTTACAAATATCCTTCTTCAGACTAAAATTCTTTTCATTTGTCTAAACCTGCAGATTTTGTTGTGTTCTTTCACCATTCGTCTTAAATATGTTAGTAACATAAAATGTAGCAACGTAGCTGTAAAGAAGGTAACAATGCTAAGAATCTTTACCCCTTGTATACCCCTTGTGTATGAGTTAGCCATAATTAAGTACTACTGTACCTAACACTAGTCAAGCATGCTGAACTATACAAGACTTACAATAAGCATGTGTAAAAAGCAGCGTGTAAAAAAATTCATAAAAAATGTGAAAAATCGTTTGTAACAAGTTCTGCGGTGAAACAGTGGAAGCCAAATACAGTAGACACATATTACTAAGTAATCTGGAATTATTTTTTGCAAGGCTATACTTAAGTCTTCACCAAAATGTGTCTAGCGACTGTCGCAAGTACTGCATGACTAGACCTCATGTAAATCTTTCTTAAACAGAAGTATACAATTTTGCTGAACCATTTGTTTTGTCATTTTTAGTCTAATAAAATTTTCAACTGTTGTCATTTTGCAGACTCTATTTAATATTGTTACTGTTGTCTAGTTTTGATTGTTTTTTAGGGGTATTAGCCCATATCATGTACTTTTGTTTTGTCGTGGTCGCGCATTTCTGTTGGTGCAGAGGCCGATCTCGTTCCCAGGGCACTAGTTAGGCCCATCTCGTGCCCAGGGCACTACCCGAAGCTCCTGCTGATCCAGTCGTGTTCCCAGTTGCGGTGCCGCTCCAGCATCATTTCCCGCACTTCGTGCTCGGGGCTCCGCTTGGAGACTCCTGCAGTAACGTACAGCAACAGCTTTTAAAGGAGATCTTAGTCTTTGTAACACAAATACTCGGTGGATCTATAGAGCCTTTCTTTCTTTCTCCCTCTTTCCCTCTCTCCAACTTTCTTTCTCTCTTTTCTTTCTTTCGTCCTCTCTTTCTTTCCACCTTACCCTCTGGCATGGCGACCACCTCAAATGGCGTGATAAAGTCGCAAGTGTGATCGAGACAGGACGACTTGGTCTACTCCAACTTTTCATACTTCATCTGTTCTTCTTTCTTTCTCTCTCTCTCTCTCTTCCTTTCTCTCTCTTTTCCTTTCTCTTTCTTGCCTTCTTTCTTTTTCTCTTTCCCTCTTTCTTTCTTTCGTTTTTTCTTCTCTCTCTTTCTTTCGTTCTTTTAACTGTTCAACTGCTTGTGTTAACTGTTCAACTGCTTGTTATATCTTCTAATCAATGGTACCGACTTACCTGCCGGCATGGCTACCACAGAGAAAGGTGTGATGAATTCCCGAGTGTCGTCAGGACATGACGACTTGGTCCACTCGAACACCAGGTTCTGCACGATGGCCTCCACGTCTTCAAAGTTCACGGCGTTCACGATCACCTCCGTCACGTTCTTGTTAAACACCAGCACAGACTGCGGAGATAAAAACAAAGTTAACATGGTTAACTCTTTTATGCTAAAATGTTTACAATGGTAACGTCCCTTTTGTTGGTCAACACACAAGTTTAACTATTGCTATTATCTCCACCCGTGTCCATCTCCACCCTTGGTGCAGGGTGCAGTACTAGTGTGCCCCCAAACTTCAATACACACAGTTACAGCAGGGGGCTAGTGCACTGGTTGTGATTCAACTACAATACTATTTTTCACAAGTGCGAAGCTAGGCAGAGAAAGCAGTACATTTTGCACAAATAATACATATGCATAATGCTACTCCTTTAGTCTTTCTCATAAGTTCTAAACAGAGAAATCAGTACATTTTACACATGGCATGATCGGTCAAAATACTACATTTCAAACAATCTGTTACATACAACTAATATCCAGCTTTGCTGAACACTACAGAACCGAGTTATTGCTAGCCTGGTTATCAAACCTATTATAGCTCCCGAGTCCTAGGATTGCAGAGAGGATGTAGGACTCGTGAGCTATGATAGGTCTGGTAACGAGGCTAGCAAATGTAGCCTAAAAAAACTAACGAAAATAGACAATAGCGACCTTCAGCGAAGCCCGGAGGGACTGCATCTCAGCCTCATCTTCCACGTAAAACTCGACCCGTCCGTTGGCGTGCATGCCGTAGATAGCCTGCATCAGGTCCATCACGGGCAGAGGGTTGTTCGCCATGGAGTAGATCTGTTCCTGTGGGCTCTTGGTCGGGTCCGGACGGTACAGTTCCTCAGTAGACGGAGCTATGAACAGGAGAAACAATTATTGTTAGTTTTTGTGGTTGTGACCACACACACACACACACGCACACACACACACACACACACACACACACACACACACACACACACACACACACACACACACACACACACACACACACACACACATGCATACACACACACACATACACACACACACACTGGTGCAAACACACACACACACACACACACACACACACAGATACACACACAAACGCACACAAATGAAGCCACTAGATGAGCTTTCAGCACCAAGGACGTCAGCAACAAGGACGTAGCAATTATACTATATACAATGAAATGTTACTGATATATTACCAAGTACGGTGCAATTTTACCGGTACACTCAACAATACTTTCAACCCGAGGAGCTTCTATTCAACAGGACTATATTTGGAAGAATTTGAAAGTATATCTCAGTACAAAAACAAACAAACAAACAAACAAACAAACAAACAAAACAACTGACCCAGTAGAGAGAAGATGGGCGCCTTGACGATGCAGTGGCCGCGGCACGCGTGCACCTTGAGGTCCGTGTTGTCGCGTGCCCAGAAGTTGGTGATGTCAGGTTCGGAGTTCAGGAAGTCGAAGTTGACCCAGTGCAAGAAGTTGTTACAGTGGAGGGTCTTCTCCTCCCAGATTTCGCCTGCGGGGGGCAAAACAGTTCAGTTTAGACGGGGGGCGCCACAGACTTTCTACAAAATAAGGTTCGGTGTTGAGGAAGTCGAAGTTGACCCAGTGCAGAAAGATGTTACATATGTAGCGTTTTCTCCTCCCAGATTTCGCCTGCGGGGGACAAACGGGTCAGTTTAGACGGGGGGCGCCACAGACTTTCTACAACATATGGTCTTCTCCTCCCAGATTTAGTCCATCAGTGGGCAAACGGGGGGCGCCACATGTTTACTGAGTCACGTATGTCATCTGCATAAGGACGTCACAGATTGTGAATTCGAAGGATTGCCCAGTCCTTGACAGACTGGAGTTGTACAGTCGAATCTTTGGGGAAGTGCATTTTTTTGTATTGGAAACTACAGTTTAAACTTTGTAGTTCTGTTTACACTTGTCTAAAATACTCCGTAATTGTCACCGATTCTATCAGATCTGAGCCTTTTATCCTGACGTAAAAGTTCATGTATAGCGCGGTCAATGATTTGTGCAGTTTTGCTGTCATAGAATTTTCTTATGTTTGTACCTTTTTTGTTTCTTATGTTTTAGTTAGCTGTGCCTACCTTCCAGACAGGTTCCACAGGCGCCAAAGCAACCCTCCAGCGCCGCCTTGACGTCAGCCTCGGCTCGGTACAGGTGCTTCTTCTTCACCGCTTGCCAGATATGGGCAATCTGCAGGGAGAGAAAAAAAACAAGGATCCATTATGTTATTTGATTTGATTTGATTTGATTTATTGAAATTGCAACAGTGCAATACATGTGGAACAGAGGCAGCTGTTGCTGGTGTTGTGTCCCGCACATAGAAACGAATACTGGACAGACAATACTAATTTTCACTTGAGTCTAGTGGGGAAAGTCGTGCAAAGTGCCTTTTCCAAGGGCACAAGGTCGGTGGCATGTCAGGACTCGAACCCGGGACCTCTTGGTTTCGAGTCTTGCACGCTGCCGTTGCGCCACACGACCCCACCCCATTATGTTATTGTCTTTTTGTGTGCGTGTGTAAATAAAATAAAAGAAAACACTGAAAAAGACAAGCTTCAGGTTCCACCGAGACTTGAACTCGGATCGCAGGATTCAGAGTCCTGAGTGCTAACCATTACACCATGGAACCGCTTCGACGACAGGGTATGGGCCTTCGCAGCTGTGAACTCAGCTGTTTGTTCAAAGCCGTTCCATGTTTGTCGACACTTCCGGGACGGAGGGTGTTTTGATAGTTAATTTTGTTTCCCGTTTTGAACATCTTGCATACGCTCCACGCATATCTTTAGGCTTAAATATGGCCAATTTGATATTTTCTTAGTAATTTGATACTGTCTTTGCAATATGATACTGTCCTGGTAATTTGATACTGTCTTTGTAGCAATTAAAAGACCTGCTTGGAGATTACATCATGAATACATATATATCTTCTTTATCATCATCATCAGAAGAAGAAAGAAGAACTAGAAAGGTAACATTTGCAAAGCAAATTACATAATGTTTACCTTCACATGGTCTAGCCTAACAAACTACTGCTGAGTAAGGTCATTGACTTCACTTGTTTGGAAAAGAAGAAGACGAAACTGACCTCCTGCGAAGGTAAACATAACTAACCTCGGTTTCCCTGTGCGGCGCGGTCTCGGCGCAGAACTCGGTGTCTGACGTCGGGATACACTCCTCTTCCCCGGCTGGTTCCTGCCTTCGGCGCCGCCGACGTCGCTGCACCGCCTCGGAGTGTTTGTGCTGGAAATCCACGGACTGGGGCTTGGTGGGGTCCGAGAACAGACAGGCGCGTTCCAGGCTGTCCGGCTCGATTATACGGCCCTCTGTGGGGGGAAAGAATGAATGAGTGAGTGAATGAATGGATCGATGAATGGATGCCTCGGAGTGTCTGTGCTGGAACTCAACGGAGTGTCCGAGAACAGGCAGGCGCGCTCCAAGCTGTCTGGTTCGATTATACGGCCCTCTGTGGGGGAGGGAAAGAATGAATGAGTGAGTGAGGGAATTAATGAATGAATGAATAAATGAGTGAAGTAAGGAAGAAATGAGCTGCACTGCTTCGGAGTGTTTGTGCTGGAAATCCACGGACTGGGGCTTGGTGGGGTCCGAGAACAGACAGGCGCGCTCCAAGCTGTCTGGCTCGATTATACGGCCCTCTGTGTGAAGGGAAAGAATGAACGAGTGAATGAGGGAAGTAAGGAAGAAATGAGCTGCACCGCCTCCGAGTGCTTGTGCTGGAAATCCACGGACTGCGGCTTGGTGGGGTCTGAGAACAGACAGGCGCGCTCCAAGCTGTCTGGCTCGATTATACGGCCCTCTGTGTGGGAGGGAAAGAATGAATGAGTGAGTGAATGAATGAGAAGAACGGGGAAGCGAGCTGCACCGCCTCGGAGTGCCTGTGCTGGAAATCCACGGACTGCGGCTTGGTGGGGTCCGAGAACAGACAGGCGCGCTCCAGACTGTCTGGCTCGATTATACGGCCCTCTGTGTGGGAATGAATGAGAAGGGAATGAACGAATGAATGAGGGAAATAAGGAAGAAATGAGCTGCACCGTCTCCGAGTGTCTGTGCTGGAAATCCACGGACTGCGGCTTGGTGGGGTCCGAGAACAGACAGGCGCGCTCCAAGCTGTCTGGCTCGATTATACGGCCCTCTGGATGAGAGAGATTAACTTTTGTCACAAGGAACTTGCTATCAAAATGCTTTAAATAAAGCCTTTCTTTTTTGTCTTCCTTTAGTTATGAAGATTTACCACATTATTGTAAGGAATGACATGACACGTGACCATTCGAGAGGACGTCCCTAACCGAAGATGGGTACTCATTTGTACCAGTTTTGCGTGACCTTTCTGCCTTATTTACTCACACAGTATAATCACAGATTATGTGCATTTGGCTTCCCCGCATCCCCGCATTATTGTGTTGTTCTGTCATGTACTAGCCTCTACCAGGCTTCGGGAGGCGGCTGGAAAGAGTAGAAATAGGCCAAATAGACAGATAGTTTAGGTTGCGGCGAAACTGTCCTCTCAACGGACAAACTCCCCTGGCATGTTATCTCTCTATTTGACCGATTTCTACTCTTTTCAGCCTCCTCCCGAAGCCTGGTAGAGGCTATCATGTACAGCCCTCCATCTCCTTTATTGACAAAGACCGTGCACGCGCGCCCCCTGTCTCACCGATGGCGTACTCCAGCAGCATGGCCATCTCGTCCGCCCAGTCCCAGGCCGTCACGTTCACCGGAAGTACGTCAGGCTCGTCCACCCAGAACTTCGCGTCGTCCCGGATGTCCACAAACACGGACCTGTTGTACATCCCGACACCTGTGGCAAAGGTAAGTCACATACAGATTTAGTAATACACCTGTTACAATTCACAAAGGCAATTCTTATAACGATTACCCCATTTGCAAACAGTGAAAATTGTCACAAGATGGACATAGTAACCAGCCAATATGGCGGACGCTATACGTCAAACTCACGTGATCATAAACTTAGGCAGACATGCGAAACTTTAGACACGCAAGTATAAGAGCAATTGGTGTAAACTACTAGTATCTAGGAGATTTCATATTCAGTATTTTCCTGTGTCTGACCAAGGAGGTTTAAAGATCTCCTTTACATTCTAACATTTTTTCCTTCCTGCCATCCTGTCAATCTCCCCCACCCCTCCCAAGTGATGTCAACCTATAGTTACTCTGTCTGGACAAACAGACACACAAACCCACAGCTCATCATCCACCCAAAACAATACTTCCGTATATAATGGCAGTATCCATTGGCCATGGCCAGAGGAGTGTCCATTAGCCACCGAAGCTAGTGTACACTCCTCTGGCCAATGGATACTACCGCTTGCCACCGTATGATCTGCTTGGAGATTACTTATTAGTACATAATAAGTATACAAATCGGTCTGTTCCCTACCGATGCTCTTCCTGTTGTCCGCGAACAGCGGTCCGCACTTGATCACGGCAAACTTCGCGAGACGTAGCGGCGTGTACACCTCGGGGTCATCGACCTGGTCGCCATAGTAACCGACGCGCATGGCCCAGCCCAGGTTGTGCCGGTCGTAGCGAGGGTCCGACATGTTAAAGCGGTCGTCCTGGTGTTCAGTCGTCAGGTAGCCTTCCAAGATTTTGATGTTCCGGTAGACCTCTGCAATACCACAATATCAGAAGTCAGGCTGACAATTCCAAACTCAGTGCCATTATTTAGTAGTACCGAGGAAAACTTTTAAGTCACCATGGTGACAGACATCTGATCCAGGTCATTGACTTTATCTGTTTGGAACGTAAGAAGAAGAAGAAGAAACTGAGCAAAACAATATGAGAAGGAAAACATATTAAATTAATATGTTTACATTCTCAGAAGGAAACATATTGTTGTGCTCAGTTTCTTCTTCTTCTTCTTCTTACGTCAATAGATGGACCCAGTGATACTTGTCAAGTGTGGCGTCAACACTGGGTCAAAGGTATGTTTTTATATTTCATTACCAACCTGCCGACATGCTTCTTCCACTTGTTCTCCCGTAAGGCCAGTGCCTCATAACACTTCTAGTTACAGGTTTGCTATAGTCAACCTGTTTTGATTTAGGTCTCGTCTATGGGCACGGCCATTTTGTTTCCCAGAGTATGATGGGAAGGACGCTATCCCAACCTACCGTCATGCTTCTTCCACTTGTTCTCGCGTAAGGCCAGTGCCTCATAACACTCCACCAGTACGGGGTTCAGCCTGAAGTACCGGGCGTCCGGGTCCTTAAAGTCATCGACTGTCACGTTAGCGCCGACGTTCATACCCCACTGTGTGGAAAAAAGTAGCGGATGATCCGTGAATAGTCTCATCAGGTTAAATGATAAACAAATATAATGATTTGAAAAAAAATAAGTATAACAATATATAAACAAATATATACATCAATTTTGATAAACAAGACTATTTCCTGAGAGGGGTGAAGGAGGTTATATACATCAGGGCCCATCACCCTTCACTTAACCGCGACGGGGGCCGACATCGTCTACAAGATACCTTTGACCCAGTGTTGACGTCACACTTCAACGAAGCCACGTGACAAGCCTCGCTGGGCCAGTCTACTGAGGAAGACCAGAAAGCTCTAGGTGAGAGAACTTTTCGTGTTGGATCTAAAGTTTAAACTCTAAACAACGATAATCAGATAAATGAATAAATACCTTGCCGTCGCTATCGAACAGTAACATGGGCATTGTGGCGTTGTTGTTGTTGCTCAAGTCCTCATCTGGCAGAGTGTAGTTCATCTCTAACTCGGCAGGGGCCCTCACTGAGATGAGAGTGTTCTCCGGGAAGTCCACGAAAGTCGGGGTGAAGCCTAGCTGCTTCCGCACTGCGACGAAGATGTGATCCCCTGGAGATATGGTAAAGGTCATAGTGAATGTGAATCAGTCATTTTTTACGCTGAGGCGAAGCATGATGTTTTTTTCACGTGCCGGTGGCTGCTAGGTAATCTAAGGCGCCCTCGCCTAACCTCTGACATACACATAACCAAATATGCCCTCCCCGAACCAAAACCCCAGTTCTATAAGCCTGCTACGGAGGCTAAGCCTGGGCCGCCTTTTACCCAACAGAGAACCCTGCTCCTTTTTGGACCTTTACATAAAAAGTGGACCAAAAAGTGGACCTTTGAGCCTTGTAGGGGGTTCTCCCGACCCCCCCCCCCTGGCTACGGGCATGGCTTACCCTTGTGTTCTACGAAGTTGGCTCCAGCGCAGATAGCATTTTTCGCCAGCTGGGGGAGTTTCGAAGTGTCCCCGTCGGTTAGGGTGAGTTTGGCCGCCCGGCCCTCGAAGTGCAGAGACTCCGCCGGCTGGTCTCCTTCTGTCGCGCCCGCGTGCGGCTCGTCCCACGCCTCCAGGACTTTCAGCTTAACTGAGATGGGCAGAGGAGAGGAATAGAAGGGCGATTAGATAGGTAACATTAATAATATTACTTGAAATACATTGTGTGTGTGCGTGTGTGTGTGTGTGTGTGTGTATGTATGTATGTGTGTGTGTGTGTGTGTATATATATATACATATATATATATATGTGTGTGTGTGTGTGTGTGTATGTGTGTATGTGTGTGTATGTGTATTTATGTGTGTGTTTGTGCGTGTGTGTGCGTGTGTGTACATGTACGTGTGAGTGTGTGTAGTGACCAGCCCCTCCAACTCTGCCTTGCCACTTTCTACATAATTCTGCGATTTTCCTCAGCTTTGAAGGGATTTAGATTACGTATATTTCTGCGCCATATGTATACATATATGAAAATTCCATGTACATATGTGAAAACTTATTATCATTTCTTTTGTTTTCAATATCAAGGGTATTGAGACTACTGACCTCCTGTGAACTCGTCCTTCACCATCTTCTGCACTTTCCTGAGCAGGTCCAGCATGCTCTTGGTCATCACACGATCAGCGCACCTGCAATACAACAAGGCAGGTTAGACATCCAGGTAATGTATGTTTGTATATGTGCGTGTGTATGTGCTTCTGTATTTGTATTTATATCATACCCGGGCCGGAACCCGTTATCGAACCCTTCCATGGCTTCCATAAAACGATTCGAACGCGTTTCGCCCTAACCGCTTGTGCCCCTTTCGAAAATTCGAATACAGAATCCGGACGTTGGAACTGATGTTGTTGCATTTTAGGGTTTAGTGGCACCAACTTTTGGCTCATCTTGCATTGAAAGGCGTGTTTTCTATGGTGGGTATGATAAAATAAAATACAACACGGTGTATTCCGCATCGCCCTCGGTCTCGGCCCTCCCGTGAGTCAGATCGCGGTCGGGCCGATACCTCGGGCGATACGGAATACCCCGTGTTGTATTCTATATGTCCACCCAGGGAATAAGTATTTAGAGGTCAATGACAGATCAAACCATGGCAAAGGTCACACCTTTGGGCCATATTTTAAAACTATACATTCTTCTGTTCTCCTTACCAGAAAACTGGGCCTTTCAATTCAAATTTGCCCAGGAAAAAAATCATCTGTAAAATAAGTCCCAAAGTATATATTGTATCGGTGTACACACTGCTAATTCTGCGCATGGTGATTTATAATTGCTGGTCCCTCCACAGTAGTATAACAGATTGGGTATCACACCACTGTTTTGACTTGTTTCTCCTATAGGGTGATGAACATCAATGTGAGAGCTGTCATGCAAGTTTCACAGGTCAGCTCAAGTGTTTCTCTCCCTTTTTTCCTCCAAAAGTTAATTAAAAAAAAAATTTTTTTTTAATAGTTGAAGAGTAAATTGAGGTTGAAAAATTAAAAGGTCTACACTGTAAGAAAATAATATTCTGTTGCCCATTCAGAAATTAGTTTTGTATTTCATCATAGAAGCTAGGAACTATAAGAAAAGTTGGATTTGTAAAAATTAATGCAGAAGAAAACTGTTTTTGCCCTCTGCCTGTTGTACGTGAGGAATAATTACATTAGAGTTATTTCTTCTTTTACTTTTCCCAGATAGTTGCCAAAGGAATGGTGGAGCGAGGCACGGGTGGCTCTATTGTGAATGTTTCAAGTCTGGCCTCAAAAAGTGCATTGAAAGAACATACGTCATACTGTAAGTATTATTATGTCCTACCTGGACTGCCATTACGTTCGATACGGGTGTTCCGGCCCGTGTGATAACTAGCGGTACGGCCCGGGGCTTCCAAATGTTCCATAGAACGATTCGAACGCATTTTGCCCTAACCGCTTTCAAAAAATTGAATACAAAATTCGGAGGCTAGAATTGATGTTGTTGCATTTGTTGGGTTTAGGGACACCAAATTTTCGCTCTTTTTGCATTGAAAGGCGTGTTTTCTTTAGCCTGGGTACCATCCGGATTTTCGCTACGCAACGCTCGAAAAAATCAAGAG